ATATATATAATTATTTCACGAAGTGGGAACCGAACTGCCAATTTTCCTTGACGTTTCCTCCGCCGGTCGATCGATTCTCCGCGGGATTTCTGCGGCTTACTTCCAAGGACTTGATGGACTTCCTCTCTCATCTCTGCCCCTGCCTTGAGAAGAGGCTCAAAGGCGGCCGAACCGGCTCACACGATGTAGACGCAGCCGACGACGACGACGACGACACTGAAAACCTTCTCTTCGAGCTCCGAACTCTCGAAATCGCCACTAATTCCTTCTCCGAGGATAACCTGCTCGGCCGCGGCGGCTTTGGCCCAGTTTACAAGGTACTTTTTTTTTTTTTGATAAAGGTTTACAAGGTACTTAGTGTGGTTAGGTATTGAAAATAAAAATGAGTATGTAATTATTTACTCTTTTTTTTATAACATAATGTCGTACATTTGGCTCGACTACTGTCATTGTATCTACGAATAGCTACCGTCTTGCCAGATAGTCAATTCTCCATCCAATAATTGTAATGTTTATTCCAAACCCGCGTTTACAGCGTATCATATCACCCCTTTCCTATAGTTATTTACTGTATTTGTCTCATGTTAGAAACTGAAAAGAGAGAAATATTTGAAGAAAAATTCACTATTTTTTTTTATTAACAATGCATAGATAATATGTTATATATAAGTCTTTTTAAGAGGATATTTTAATGTATAGAATATTTAAAAAAATATTTTTTAAAATATAAAATATTTACAATGAATATAAATAATGTAATATGATTTAAATAATATGAATAATTAATTATCAAATATTGCCTTCATATCTTAACATCTTTTACTTCGGTTAATTTAAATGCAGACACATTTGGCTTATTTATTTTGTAATTTCGTAAGTCTTGATTTGCCTTTTCATTGGTCTTTCCTGCTTTTTGAGGGGAAGGAGTTGGCATTTGGAAAATCATCATTGAGAGTACGTTTCTTGCAGGGTTCGATGCCAAATGGTCAAGAAGTAGCGGTGAAAAGGCTTTTACTTTCAGAGCCTCCGGGACAAGGATTGAGAGAATTCACCAATGAGGTGAAATTTCTTTTGAGAATTCAGCACCGGAACCTGGTGACATTGCTGGGTTGTTGTATTGAAGAATCCGAGAAGATGCTTGTTTATGAATATCTGCCTAATAAAAGCCTTGATAACTTTCTCTTTGGTAACAACAACTATGCACGCATCTGGGTTTTGCAATCTCAAATCGAACAAAATGTTGAAATCAATGGTTCTCTTGGAAATTTTCAGATAAGGTTAGGTCTGCAACACTGGATTGGACAACAAGATTTCGGATAGTTAATGGAGTGGCAAGAGGTCTCCTCTACCTCCACGAAGATGCCCCTGAAAAGATCATCCACAGAGACATCAAAGCCAGCAATATTTTGCTAGATGAGCAGTTGAATCCAAAAATCTCAGATTTTGGATTGGCACGTCTCTTTTCCGGGGAAAACACCCATGCGACTACATCTCTTTTATGTGGTACTCCGTAAGTCGTTTCTATACTTCTCTTTCTATCTTATTCTCATTTAGTTGTCCTCCTTGCAAAATGCAAAGTTAATCGACTCTAGTCCATATTATATTTCAATTTTTTTCCTGCTGGATTAATTATTTCTTAACTAGGCAAAAGAATAAGAAATAGAAGTTTCTATTGACTGTAGTGGTTACATGGCCCCTGAATATTGCTTCAGTGGTTATCTGTCTCCGAAGGCAGATGTTTTCAGCTATGGAGTCTTGGTACTGGAGATAGTAAGTGGGAGAAAGAACTTTGACATTAGTCTTGGTGCTGAAAAGGCGGGCCTCTTGAACTATGTAAGTATACTTTATATACAGACATTCTCTAAGCAATGGGCTTTTGTTCAATCCTTGTGGCTACATATGCAGGCATGGACACTCTATAAAGAAGGGAAATCGTTAGATTTGATTGACCCAACCCTTGAGAAATGCAACCACAATGAGGCAGCAATGTGCATTCAACTAGGCTTGTTATGTTGTCAAGAGAGCACCACGGATAGGCCAGATATGAACTCTGTTCATTTCATGCTTTCAAGTGATTCATTTACGTTGCCCAGACCTGGAAAACCTGGAACTAAAGGGGGTAAGGGATGTTCGACGAACGCCTCCATGCCACCCTTAGCTAATACTAATAATACCAGCAGTGCATCCGCCGGTGTTATACAGGTTTCTGGTGGCAAAAGTTTTGCAGAGGATTATTCTAGAAATTGCATCTCGTATTCTTCCATTTTTGAGGGCAGATGATTCATTGGTGTCATTCTAACTTCATCATGCGCAAGTTTCATCTTGTATTCTTCCTTTTTGTTATATTTTTTGCTGCTGGATTCTGGTGATTTGGTCTATAAGAATAGATCAAGTTAGGTATTTAAAAACAAATAAAATAAAATTAACCCCCTTAAGTGAGCTCCCTCCTCAATTATGAGATATTTGTCCCACATTGTTCTTGTGTGCATGAATTAAATAATATAAATAACATTCCACACAACTCTAAATTAACCGGTTCTAGAGTTATGATATATTCCTATTTCTATACCATTTCATTACTCTCTAAAAATAGTATGTTTTTGTATTTTTTGGTACATAAATTAATAAATAGGTTAGCAATTTCAGCTTGCAAAGATTTCCACTTAAGATCTTGAATACAAACAAGTTTTTTTATATTAATAAGTACCAACTTGGCAAAAATACTTTAATCTTATAATAACTTAGCTTCAGGAAAAATTATTTAGTTTCCCTTGTGAGCAGTAGAGGTTGGGTTAATTGTTGACTAGGATTGATTCTATCCTTGCTAACAACCTCGTACAACAGGAAAATAATCTCTCCCACGACATAATACTCTTTGGAGTGCAGATTTCTCCTAGAGAAGTTGGAAATTGGATGTTGCAGACCTAACACAAATTCCAGTCCAGGAGGTCACAAAAAGAAAAACCCTTGACATTTAAATTTTGTACTAATATAGTAAAATGAGAATAAATTTACCTTAAATCTCAGAATCCTACACCAAGGCAAGCATTAACCATAAACCACTAACGAAAACAAAACCCAACTTGACATCTTTCTGCTTGCTTAGAAACTCAAATGCCAAAATTTTAAATACTTTGCAATCAGAAAAGCATTTCTTGTAGAACAAAGAGACACATAAGAGATGCATTGAACATAAAAATCCATCTATGCCTCTGTTACGGGGAACTCAAACACAACATCCTTGCCTGATAGCTTCCTGTAAACTGCAGCAAAGGTCTCCAGTTTGTACTCAGTGTTGTTTCGCTCCTTGGGGTCCAAAAATACCTAACAAAGGGGGTACAGTCAGAATGCAAGAACATTAAGGTGCACAAAACAAATCTAATCTCTTTTGAAGATGATGATGATGAAAAGACGATTATGTCAAGGTAGATGATCATCATACACTTTTTTTTAAGATAACCAAAAGTTTGAGATTAGAGCATTTTCAATAACAATAAAGTAATTTACCTTCATTATCTTTGACCCATCAAGTCGGTATCTAATTCGCTTCCCAACAATCTCAGCAGGTAAGACAACATCCTCCAGCATTGCCTCATGAACAGAAGTCAAAGTGCGGCTGCGTGGCCTTTGAACAGCAGAACCTTTCTTTGGAGGTCTCAATATCCTTCTGGTAGCAATGAGAATGACATCCTAGCCAGGGTGTACATAACTCAAGTTAAAACCAGGAGTATATGAACATAAATGGCTCCATTTAATTACCAAAATTACTGATCAAGAACAAGCTATCATATGACTAAAGCCCGATAAGATTCACAATTCACCAAATTAAAGCAACTTATATCAGAGCTAATGAGCTTTTGTTTTGACTACTTCCTCACAGCAGCATATTCAAGTGTTTGGAAAAAGAAGTTGGCTCAGATTTAACATCAGATCAAACCATGTGGTTAGAAACTTCTTTAAGAAATGCCTTTATTTTGGACCCAAAGTGGCAAAAGACAACATTAGAGTCACCAGCAACCAGCACTTTTAGAATCACAACAATGCCATAATGGGTTAACCAAAATTGTCCATGAAAAGATCAAATATATTGTTTTGACTGAATAAAAGACACAGTTCATGGCATTAATAAATAAACAAACAAAAAACATATTACACACTACACACTACACACATTTAAGTTTATTTCATGCTAAGACATCTAATTTGGTTTGTTGTCAGGGTCAGGGAAAAAAATGCAATTGGTTTGTTGTAGAATTAGTTGTGCTTACCTTCCCACTAAACTTCTTTTCGAGCTCCCTGACGAGCCTAACATGAATCTTGCGGAAAGCTTTCCTCAACCTGTAGGGAACATGAATAACCACAGCCTTCCGGTTCCCAGAAACATCAACTTGACTGCATTATAGATCAAAAGAACATTATTTATTTAGTGTTCAACCACCGAATTAATCAACCATTCAATCATTCTAAAAATCATGCTTACAGTGCTGAATTTATGTAGAGATCTTTGAGATCACTCTTCAGCTCCTGGTTGGTATTCTCCAAATCAAAGAGTGCCTGTTACACACATGGTTGCAATCAAAATCATGAATTTCAAAATTGAAAAGAACTTTGCAATTCCGCAAACATCACTAGCAAATCTCAAAACCTGAGCAACTGACTCCTCAAATTCAGATGGCTCAGCATCTTTATCTTTGTGGATCTTCTTCCTTGACGTATACATCTTCACAAGAAAGCTGGTGCTGATATAAAGAGAAAAAAAAAATGATCACACAACCAAAACAGGCATTAACTTAAAAAACCCAATCAAACTACAACAAAGCTTTGCTTCGTAGAGTCCTGAAAATGCAAAATAGTAGAATTGGATCTTGAGATTTCAACACATTCGCAGAGAAAATTGCTTCCTTAGAGAGTGGATTGCTTTGAGTTCGTAAAGAAAGTGCAGCGGCGAAGAAGAGCCAGAGAGTGGCATCGCATACCTAGGTGCGGCGGCGGCGGGAGCTCAGGTTCAGAGAATACGTTCCCGCTTTCAACTTGCAAAAAAACCCTAGCAGGTGGAAGGAAGATAACCTCAGCGGGCTTAAATAGTAACAGTTTGGGCTCCTTGTTTTGAGCCTTTTAGGCTCATTTAAGCATTTCTTTGGACCATTTATTTTTATGGGCTTTCTTCGGATGGACCTTGTACAAATCGTAAAATCACAGTTCGGCCCAAAAGGAAAAATGCAGCGGATTGTTTCTTACATGTCCTGGGCTTCTATGTTGAACTTTAGAACAAAAAGGAGATGAGCTTGAGAAATGATTAGTCTTTATCCTCTCTAGTTTAGTATTACATGGATTATCATTGGATTAGGTGCATGTTTGGCGGAGCATTAGGATTTAATTGATAGTTGTTTTTCCTCTTATTGAAGAAATAAGGATGTTTAAATTATGGATAATATATATATCAATTATTAGCTATCGATTATTAATTATCAATTATTTTCTAACAATATGTTTAGATTGGGGAAAATGGATGGGAGAGGAAAGGAGGGGAAGAAAGTCCTTTATTTTTTAAAATTTATTTATTTATTCAAATGAGGGAAGAGGAACTGTGGGAAATGGAATAATACATTTCCTATTCCCTCTATTTCCCTTCCTTTCATTCTCATTAACCTAAACATTTTGTAAGGGCTAAACTAAACAGAGCTTAGACGTACTAGAAAAACTAATTTTATGTGAATTCATACGCACCATTGTGGTTGGTTTGATTCAAAACCTTTCATTTTAATTTTATTATTTGAATTCCACACTTCATGTTTGGTTTGATTAGAAATTTTGTGAAATTCAACACAATTCAACAACTCTTTATTTGATTTGATTATAAAGTAAAAGGTATAGAATTAATTTAGGTTAAATTCAAATTCTATTTATTTTAATGGACTTTTGAAAGGGCAAAAAACTATTATTTCAAATAGAGGGATTATATTATATATTTATTCCAAATATAAATTTGTGATGAATGCACCATTTGAAAATGAAATAAATTCTTGTTCATTTATATATTAAATGTACTGTAACTGAAAATATTTGAAAATGTAAAAAAAATTTTAAAAAAAATAAAAAAAGTTTTGGAGGTGCTAACTCTTGAAGTTTGAAAAAGACGTATAGATTATGTTTGAAACTGACGATTTCAGACCTTTCACGAGTCTGTGACAAAGACAAGAAAAGAAATGATGATTTGAAATTTTGAACCATTTGACAGCGAGTATATCTCACTGGTTCACATATCCAAGATAACCTTCCCCCATTGCACCGACGCTAATTGAGGCACTCAGCTCCCATTCTTCGGGTTATGTAATTTCATTTGAGATTATAAATAAAGAATAATTCCTAGATAGAATTCACCGAGGTTATGCAAGTTATGCCCACAACACAGTAATGGATGATATAGCTAGTTAACGGATCTAGAAGATGGGGCTTGAGGAGCATCCATACTAGGATTTGGATTTCTACAATGGGGCTTAAGGAGCTACCGCTGGGCAGGAGTGAGTATTTTTGGATAAAGATCGAACATGAGTTGTATCTGATATTTAATTTAAAAATTTGTTTATGTAACTTTTTAAATTTAATATCTATGTAAATACCTGAAAATATATATTTGGTATTTAATTTAACAAGTACCGAGTAACTTGCAGCTATATAGTTATGCACTTAACTTAGGAAAAGAAAAGATCTAGTAGATGTTATTGTTACGTGTATTGTGTATTTGGTTTAGAATTTATTATTTATATGAGTTGTTATTGATGCATATGTCATTTGTTTGGTTTACAAGCCTTACTTAACTTTTATTTTTATTTTTTTATCTTATTATTTTTATTTTTAAAAGTTACTGTTATTATATAAATATTAAATATAATAAGTATATTTAAAATTTTAATTATACAAGTATCAGTAACATGTCATTTAAACAAATCGATTAAATACATAAAGTAAGCAGTTCTTAAGGGATATTTGTTACTTGACTTGATACTTACAAATATATTGTTTTCTACCTATTACTTACCTATTTTCTATACTTCGAGTATGGCACTTACCCAAATAGATAAAATACTTGTAAAGAATAGATGTACCTATACCCAATGCTCACCCTTACTACTAGGATTAGGATTACTAGAGCAATTATTGTAAGGCTAATAAATAGAGCTACAAAGTAGATAAACAATTATACATTACAAAGAATATAATTAAAAGTAAGAGGTTCTGAACTTGAGTTGCATGGCATGTGGGAGAGGTGAGTTGAGGGATGAGAGAAAATTAACTCTCATTGTGCAATCCAAAATTTTTTTTAAAAAAAAAAATCTATATGTTTCAAAGCATCTCTAGTGCTATAGAGAAGTCTTCAACTCTCCACTAACTTGCCACTTTTAGGGGTAAGAATGGGCTAACCTAAACTTGGGAACTTATTAGTTCCCCAAATCCTTGAATCTTTTTTCCCTCTTTTTGTGAGGCCATATTTTGTGCTTAGAAGAAGTATGCCTTTAATGGAGAATTTAGGATCAAACTTGTGAAAAATGGGCATTTTATCCAAAATCAATTGGTCATAAATAAAGTAACTTTTCTTATATTTAACCCACATACTTATATGTTATTTTATTCGTGTGAGATTTTATCACTTAACACGCTTTATGTGGGCTTAATATAAGTTTCCCCTTGTGTAGCTCCAAATTATCATGGGTTTGGGATCTTGGACTTCCTAAGAGCAAAACATGCTCTGATACCATATAAAAAAAGTCATGTGGGCTTCGACACATGAGAATTGGATCCAATCTAAAATTAATTAATTATAGATGAATTAATCTTTGTTATATCTAATCCATATATTTCTTTATTATTTTATCGATTTGAGATTTTCTTATTTAATAAAACCATTGAAAAAATTGAAATAAACAAACACATACCCACTGCCAATGCTTGCATTCTTCCAATATCAACTAAAGGACACCACAACAAAATCATCCTTAACAGTGCCTCATGGGTACAAAGAAAAATGTTCAGTTCAAAGGCACCAAATAAGCCTTACCTCCAAGGGTGATAACATGATATATTGAATTTTTTTTTACCCAAATTATATTGGAGGTGTTTGGGTAGCTTCACGAGTTCACGTACTACAGACCAACATAGGGACCTACAAAATAGATCCAGGGGTTGTCCCTTGAGGTAAACACTCTAATCCTTCAGTTAGCAATATTCTATACTTATGGCTCTTTTTAGAGAGAGAAAGATTATAATAGAAAGAGAAGTACTCTAGAAAAGTCCCTTACCTTTAAGAGGTGTGAGGGTATTTATAGACTCCTTGGAGTGCTTTACACGTATTGCACTTTTATTAGTCACTTTGGATCCATTTAGCTGTACATGAGCTTCATAATGACTCGTTCATGTGCTCTTTTATATTTGGGCCTCATGGGCCTTTATTACATTTATGGGCTAGTTAGATTACTATCCCAACACTACTCCCCCTCCAATCATTTGTAAGCTCACTAAAAAATCACTAGGGTTTAGCTTCTTGTTTTTATAGGTTGTAGAAAGGCTTAATTTATTCTTGAGGAACCTAGCTCAGAAACTTTGACTTAAGACTTCCAACCTGAAAGCTAAGAATGACGAGCTGAAACTTGAAAGTTGATAATGACAACTTGAAACCTGGAAGTTGAGAATAACAACTTGGAAGACTAGCCTCTTAGGTCTCCATGCATGAACTTGATGTCATGAGGCATAACAAAGTATGTCGCCTTGGAGCTTGACGACCTGAGAGCGACGACCTGGAAGATACTAACCTCTCAAGTCTCCATGCATGAACTTGATGTCTTGAGGCATAACAAAGAATGCCACCCTAGAACTTGATGACCTAAGAGCGACAACTTGAAAGATACCAACCTCTCAAGTCTCCATGCATGAACTTGATGTCGGGAAGCATAGCAAAGAATGTCGCCCTACAACTTGACAACTTGAGGGCGATAACCTGGAAGATACCAACCTTAAGGGCCATAATGTAGAAACCATACCTCTAAAGGTCATCTTTTATAAAGCTAAGATCAAAACAAGTTCTTGTACAGTTGATAGATTGGATGTCAACTTGGAAGGTGGAGATTTCTACCTCAAAATCCCACCTTGGGATGTCCATATGAAAATCTTGACTTCTCAAGTCATAACATAGAAATTAGACCCTTGAAGACCATGCTCTATAGAGCTAAAATCAAATTACGCTCTCATGGAGCTAATGGTCCCAATCTGGACGTCAAGAATTACGCCCTAAAGTTAGGAAATGACAACCTAAAAACTCTTGACTCTCAAGTCATAATATAGAATTCAAACCCCTAAGGGTTGTGCTTCGTAGAGCTAAGATTGAACTGTACTTTCGTAGAATAGACAAGCTGAAAAGCTAATAGTTAATGGGCATAAGCTCTTGTAAAGCAAGTGGGCTAAAAAGCCAATAGATAATGGACTCAAAATATGATTAGTCAAGTTAGAGTTGAAAGCTTGCCATGCAATGTTCTTGCTCAATTTCATTAGAGCCTCTACTCAATTTATTTTGTTCCCCATAGACGACGCCAATTATTTAGGCAACTTCACAAGCTCACATATTGTAAACCAGCATGAGGACCTGCAAAACAGACCTGAGGTTGACCCGAGGTTGACCCAAGGTTGTCCCTCAAGGTAGACGCTCCAATGCCCAAGTTAGAAATATTCTATACTTAGGGCTATTTTTAAAGAGAAAAGAAGTACAATAGAAATAGAAGTACTCTAGAAAAGTCCCTTACCTTTGAGGGGTGTGGGGGAATTTATAGACTCCTTGGAGTGCTTTACACGTGTTGCATGTCTATTGGTCACTTTAGATCCATTTGGGTGTATATGAGCTCTATAGTGACTCATGCAAGTGCTCTTTTGTATTTAGGCCTCATGGACCTTCATTACATTTATAGGTTAATTAGATTACTATCCCAACAAGAGGGTTTGTATTAAGGCACAAACTAGGGGAATGCAAAAAGAGAAAATTAGAAGAAAAACATTTTATTATAAATCTATTATGAATCAATTCATTATGGATGTTTCACCTTCTTCACCCTCTTACATCCTACTTTTCATGGCATTTATACACCAAGTAATGGTGTAACTTCCATTGCCTCCATGCAATTACAGTGGTGGTTAACACCCAATAATGACATGCATTTAGATGGTGATAATTGGTTTCCTTATAATGCCTCGATTAGTAAGAGATTAATCCTTGTAACCTTTCATTTAGTGGCTGTTTATTTCTTGCAACTCCTATCACCTATTGGCCCATATATAGGGCTTGTACGCTTGCAAATGTATAGAGAACAAATGGAGAAGAAAGAAATAAAAATATAATATATCTGTACGTTGCCTCGCTTTGTCTCTCTAATTTTTCTTCTTCTTCTAATTGTTTCTTTCTTTATTTTACAACAAAATCTAGATAATGAAAGGGTGACGTGTTTTTTGGGGGTTATTCGATAGGGAATAGCCCTGCATTCCTTTATTACTTTCCACCCATTTGAAGGTTTAAATTCAAGATTTTCAACTTAAAGTTTCTAAATAGCTTGAGACACCCACTTAGAGAAATGAAGGAGTGACATGTAAAAGCCTTTATATAACCTTTAGGGTAGATAGTATATGAAAATAAATCAATTACAATGAAATCCTAGATACAATCCATCCATTAACATTATTTAATTATGTAAAGTCAATCAATTATAATGTAATTGATTCTATAATACATTGATAAGTTTTAAACTTGCATTTTTATCATATGGTTTACATTATTTTATCACTTGAATCAATTTCAATGAGTTAATAAAATAAATTTTTAACATAACTAATGTTATTGTTATTATTATTATTTTTGACAATCAATGCGCTTCAAGCTAAGTTAGGCACACTTCAACCATCGCACATGAAACATGAAGCTAAAAACCTATGATTATTATTATTATTATTATTATTTTTGGTATTCATCTTCCAGTATCTAGAAATCACATTGGATCCTAACTAATTCAAAATCGAGCCAGGTCAGACCCCATATAGGGAGAAGCTCTTCCAGCACTTATTTTTCCATTCACAAAACTCGAACTCAAGATCTTACTTAAAAGAAACCGAGCTTCTTCCACTCGAATCAACAAGTTGTTGGTAAAACCTATGAGTAATTACTAACTGTAGATACATTCATGTTTCCTCAACCCCAAGACAGCAAAAGCTCGGCCCTTTTTCTTTTTCCTTTTCTTTTTCTTTTTGTGCTTGTTTAAACCTTAGAGTACCACAAATCCAAGTTCTTTCCTTACCTTGAAGCTCGTTTTTCACGTGAAAGCCCTTTTTCTTTTTTTTGAGCAACATGTGAATTCCTTGCAGGGACGGTGCCAATGAAGGGGGCAGCCGCCCCCCTAAACTTTTGAAAAACATTTAATCTGGTACTCTAACTTTTATTTGTTAAAAATTTTGTTTTTATAATATGAATTTCAAAATCATTTTAAATGTAGAGAAAATATTTACGATCTAAATAAAAAGTTTTCAAAAAGTAAGGATATGATTTAAGTAAAATGAATTTTATGACAATTTGATTAATTAGAAATTAGAGTTCTAAAACATTTCCTTATCTATTAAACTCCAAAAAGAAAACTTTAATTCTCTATTTAATCAATTTTAAATTCATAGTTTTCTTTAGTATTATTTATTTTCTTTCTTAATATTCTATATAATAATCTAATATTTTTTTATGGCATTGAGGTATATTTTTACCTTTTATGATTGAATTTATAATCATATTTTTTTGTCTTAGATTAGTCTAAATTAGAGTTCACTTTCACTAATACCCTATTAGTCCGAGTAGAAAGAATTTGATTCCATTTAAGTAAAATCTTGAGTTTAACTCTTGTAAATAAAAAAACAGGTACTAGGAGAGCTTCACCTTTTATGAGGTCTAATACAGCTTAATTCTAAATTAGTTGCGACCCAATATTACTTTTGAATATCAAGAGGTTAATACAAAAAAATTAGAGTTCACTTTCTAAAAGAAATATTCTAATTTTTTTTTTATAATATTAGTGTTTTTCAATAGAACCTTCAAAAAATTAGAAGGAAAATATCCAAAAATTACATTATTTCAATAAAATCAAAACATTCTCAATCCTACTCTAAGAATATGTTGTTTTGCCCTTTTTAAAGTAAGTTTATTGAAATAATATAATTT